GCCCTAAGTATCATATGTCATTTAGAAATTATCACCGAAGTTGAATGATTTTTAAGGTCAATCGTGAAGGTCAAGGTCAAGGGTCAGAAATCATAGCAATGCATGGTCAGAAATATCTTGTCACAGGTAATGCACATGTGTAATATGAAAATCCTATCTCTTCTCAAATAAAAGATATGACCAAGGTTAAAGTTTTTGAAAAGTGGGTCAAACTTCAAGGTCAGGAGGTAGTTAAAGAAGGTCTTGTCACAAGTAATATACATTTCTAATATAAAAGCCCTATCTCTTCTCATTCAAAAGTTATGGCCAATTCAAAGTAATGTTTAATTTTTTAAAAAAAATACATGTAGGTCAAATTTCAAGGTCAATGTCACAGGGTCAAAAATCATAGTGTGTTTAGAAAGGTCTTGTCACAGGTAATATAAATGTGTAATATGAAAGCCGTATCTCTTCTCATTCAAAGATATGACCAAGGTTAAAGTTTTGTGACTGACTGACAGAGGGATAGATGAAATATATTTAATGTCCCCTCACTTTGGGGAAAGCGGGGGACAAAAATATGCCTGCTCCAATGGGATCATTGATACATGTAAATAATGAAAAGTGTTTCTTCTTGGCTTTATTACAGTTCAGAGTTATTCAGTTCAGTTTAATAACTTGCTTTTCATATGAAGACTTTTAGCTATTTTTACTAATGTAAAAAAAAAGTACAGATTCCATACTAGAAAAGCTTTTAATAGTTTTCGGTCATTGGGATGTACATGAATTTAGTATTATAGACCTTATCTAAAAACAGACAGACAAAGTTGTGAGTTGACTTACCTCCTCCATAGTTTGTCTGTTGTCTGTGGTAGACAGTGATTTACTGATGGTTCTCAGCATGTTTCTGCCATCCTTCAGTGTGTAAGAAATCTGTACCTATACAGGACAACAAAAATGAACTTATTGTTGAAATATCAGATCAAACAACAAGGAGTGAATGTTTAATGAATCAAATACATTGTAAAACTACAAGTAAAACAAATTTAGTAAAATTTATAACTGTACACGTTGCACTGGGTAGACTTTTACAAAATTATACCCTTGCAACAATTTTGTTCAAAAGTCAATAGAATTCTTCTAAATATGACCTTGAACTTGTCAAAATGACCTTGTTTATTAATGAGACATCATCTTGTCATAAGCAATCTTTGAGGGAGATAAAGTCACCCACTGTTTCTGTATTACAAGGTTACAGATGAGAAACAAGAAAGAAGTGCACAAGCTAAAATTTTCATTTACTTAGACACTAGATCAAAGGGATCTGATTTCCTTACCTGGAATGGTATTTTTTCTATGTCCAATTTTTTCCCAGGGTTTTTCAACTTAAATGAGAATGTCATATCAGTATCTTTTGTTGCACTTCCCACCTCCTTAATTATCTTGCTACTGCCCTATAACGAAAAATATATACATTTCAGAATCAAGGCATTATTAGATCAGAGGCTTATCGGCCATAATGCTCACCCGAGTCACTTTTGAGGTCAAAGGTCAAGAACTTGTGTACTACATGCATACTTGTATATAGGAATCTTTTTTTTTAATAAAAAAAGCTTGCTGAGTGTTAAATATTAGGTGAAGAGTTTTTCAATTTTCTGTTTCAAGTACAGTTGAACTCCTTTATCTCAAACACTCGTAATTCGAATACCATGGATACGTCAAAGTGATTTAGTCAACGTACCAAACCACTTATTATTCTTTTGGTATTTTACCCTCAATAATAATACATTGTAATCAAAACAATGTTTGATTGTATGTTAAAAATAATAACCTTAGGAAATCTGGGGTCATCCACTTCCAGCTCTGGATGGAGAAAGAGAGTGACCGTAACATATGTAGCAATGACGTAATTCTGTGAGATGAGTCGTAACTGCCGGGATATTTCCAGGGGATTAAGCACATTCACAGTACCACCAGAAATATCTGCACATTTGCTAACTTTCTCTAACCCAGTTCTCTCCCCTTCCACAGCAAGAATAGAAATAGTGATGTTCTTCTTTTTGGCATATTGCCCAGCCTTTAAAAAGAGAAATGTACATTGATTCAAATAAGTTTATGGAAAAACTTGTTATTTTTAATAGCAGCCAATACATAGAGAATAATACATACCCTTTTCCATATCACATCCTGTATCAGCCCGAGACACCAATATCAGCCAGAGGGCCGAAGGCCCGAGGGCTGATATTGGTCGAGGGCTGATACAGGATGTGATGTGGAAAAGGGTATGTTTTATTATATTTATTACACACTTAGTAATAAATACAGGTTTTTTGCATATGCGATATGGCTGACGTCACAATAGCCGTATCAATCCTGCAGGGCTGATATGGATTTGCAGGGCTGATATCCGTATCAGCCCTGCAAATCCATATCAGCCCTGCAGGGCTGATACGGCTATTGTGACGTCAATATCACACCTTTAGTAAATTAAACCACAATAACAGTACTTGTGATCATACACAATTTTTGGTGGGTTCATATTCTCTTAATTTTAACTTTTTGAAAATAAGGTTAATACATGTACACTGTAATACTATAGAATATTTTCAAATTACGGATCAAGTGCATTGAAATAGAAGTAGAAACAAACCCAAATCTTATGAGACATTAGACTATGTACATGTATGTAAGAAGTCCATGCATGATTATTTACTTATTTTCATTTCAACTGAATGTGTTCTGTATTTTATTACTAAGTATGTAATAAATATAATAAAACATACCCTTTTCCACATCACATCCTGTATCAGCCCTCGACCAATATCAGCCCTCGGGCCTTCGGCCCTCTGGCTGATATTGGTGTCTCGGGCTGATACAGGATGTGATATGGAAAAGGGCATATTTACCGGTACAAAAGAAGCATAGATGAATCCAAGAAAGCATTAATTGTGTGATTTATCTGACCTCCACATAGAAATTGGGATCCCTGTTCATGTTGCCTATGCCTCCATTTGGTGCTCCATCTGTACATAGAATAATCTCGGATCCCATGGAACCATTGACAATTCCCATGGCAACAGAGAGGGCGGGACCAAGACTGGTACAACCCTTAGGCGTTAGCTTATTTACTTCTGTCACTATTTTCCTATAAAAGTGGATATAAATTCTAAGCAACTTATATAAAATGCATTTCTTTTTGATATGCAAATTGAACTTATTAAATTTCCATTGTAAATCACTGTTGAAACATAAAGTCTCAATTTGCTAAGGCATTACTGTTAAAATCATATAAGAGGTCTTGCATGAGGTGCATAAATTAATTGTTTAAAGTACCTTAAAATCATATATATATAAATCTTATAATCTGTAGTCATATACCTCAATACATGTGTATCATTATACAGGATGTCCCTAGCTATTTTCCAAAACATCATGCCCTTAGTATTTACATGTCCTTAAGCTTAGTATTATTGATATTTACATTGAGAAGACAGAAATAATAGTTACTGGTAGGATTCCGTTAAAGGCTTGATCTGGTGTTCTGTGGAATACTTTTCTCCGTAGCTCAGTAATGGTTCAAACTCGTTATGGATGCTGGAAGGCACAGTTTGTATGGTGTTATCTGAACAATCTCCATAGACTTCCACCTTTGATTCAAACGTTAAGAAGATCACTCGACGGTCTGGGTTGTCTAGGTGCAGTCTCTCTAACTGCCTGTATAGAATTGTTATAATTTATTTATCAAAAAGTTATTGCTGAACCTTTTTCTCATCATACATGTATATCTTCTTCATTTTAATTTTTTCTCAACAATTAAACAACAAACTTAAGGAATATGGTAGTTATAGATGACTATTTATGGAATTAATCTTATATACATGCACTTATATAACCTTGGTTGGGGCAGTATATGTTTTATAAACCAAGAAGCGAGTATTAGCATTACACGTGTTGACAATCTTGTAACTCATCACTGCTTTGACCTTTTATCTTCCCATCCCAAATTCAAATGCACTCGTCCTCTGACATTCCAGTACCATTATACATTTTTTTAAATAAATCTACTTTTTTCAGGCATACGATTTACAGAATGTTTCTATTTTGATACAAAAAATATTTTCTCAATAATCATATTCGTCATGCAAATATACCAATGTCATTCAAATTTGGAATACATGTACATGTACATGTACTATATGCTTTGTAATTGTGCTCTCATTTCTCTTGTTGCAAAGTTAACTTCCACCCTTACCTTAGGAGTGCCTCTTGTATGGCCTGAAGTCGTGTAACACTGTTACTGCCAGAAGCATGTTCCCCATCTCTCTGTTTCTTCCATTCAGCTTAAAAACAAGCGGTAAGATAATTTGTAGCTTTAGAAATTTAATGCAAACATACAATGCAAGTACTATAAACCTACATAAATGTACATTAACAGATTCAAAGTTTGGCATAATCTTCTCCTGACTCAATTTTCATGATCTGAATAGCATAATCATAAATAAGTGCATTTGGAACCATGCTTGTAAATACTGGTACATAGAACTAATTTATAAAACTAGTTGAAAAGAAGCATGGCAAGAGGCTAAAAATTGAAAATTCTGCTATAAGTAAAGTAATAGCATGTCAATAATAAAAAATGTGAGGTCAAATTCAAAGTGAATTTCGAGGTCAAAATTGAAATATGAAGAGAGTTTGCATAATTAAAAATTCAATTTTGACCTCTCCCTCTACCGGTAATTCCATCAAAAATCAGGAGACCTAATCTGTATAAATCTTGTGTGCCTGTCTTTGTGATTGATGTCAGTAGATAGGGACTATTGAAATTGACATGGGAGGCCTCGTGTAATATAAATTTATTAGACAACATTTTCAAAAAATAAATTTACAGTTTTATTTCACAATGATATGGAAAATAAGGAATCACTCTCTAGTTAGTAGAGTATACCAGGGACATCAACGATAGTTGGAAATGTGGGATGATTTATGCATAATGGGCATACTCTACTAACTATTCAGTGATTCCTTAAAAAAAACATTTGAATGTTACCTTGTAGTTCAGGAAGCCGTGTGATACCCCCCATAGATCCGCTGATATCCAGACAGTACACCACATATCCACTTCCCGTTGTGGCGGGTTTTGTGGCCTCCATCTTGTCAGTTTCTGTTCCTGTAGCCGCTTGTTCTTCTGGTCCAGAGAGAGCATAATCTATGGTGTCTGATTGAGGAACTTCTTCTTTTCTGACTTCTGTGGAGACATTCTTATGTCCACAGAACTCACTGAAAATTCACAACAGTAAATTAACCCATCATGAAATAGCTATTTCCTCTAAAGGCCGGTACACTCGGTAAGGCTTGCCTTATAAGTCATGAAACTTAAGTTCTAGCCTTACCGTGTGTACACCCTTAATACACGTTTTTTGAAGCCTTACAAGTCTGACTTTAGAATAGAACACTGCTCTATTTCCTAATTCAAGACTTAGCTGACATTTAATTCTTGACCAATAAAAACCATTTACCCAAAGTTCAATCTATTTTTGTAAAACCATACACATTGGTACATTGAAGAAAACACAAAGTATATATTCAAGTTAGATAATGATAGTATCTGCAAATACTCCATTTAACCTCCTCTTCCTTGTTAAGAAGTGTGGATGCATTGGTCGGTAAAACTATTTCAAAGTCCTAGTTAGTATTATATTATTCCGTTTCATAATGTGCATTGTTTATGGTTCAAAAACACATGGAATTTATGTAAATGTTGTTTATAATATTGTAAGTCTTGCCTTAGCCTGTGGACATGGGAGCCGTACGTCCTGCAAAACATAAGGTTTCAGACTTATAAGGCAAGCCTTACCGTGTGTACCGGTGTAACGTTGAATTTTGACCCGGGTTGAAAATTGACGCGGGGGTCATTTTTCAACGTTGAATAGTGAGACCAAAGGTGTGGAATTTAGACCCTAGTCCATTGAAAACAGAGCCGGGTCGTGGAATTTTGATCTTGAAACCGGTTCAAAATTCAACAGCATAAAAGCACATATTTATGACTTGGTTTTCACAACTGTGATTTAATCCATAGGCGTCAGGAACGGGGGAGGGGGGCTAGGGATGCTTACCCCTTTTTTGCAAAGATAGACATAATATAGGCATTGAAGAATGTAAAATTGGTTTAGTCCCCCCCCCCCTGCTTTCAACAGGCACCTTACAGTGTAGTCAAAGAAAGAAGAGTAAGTGGTAGTGCTTTAAAAAAAAAAAAGAAATTGGATCCTAACCCCCCCCCCCCCCCCCCCCCCCCCCCCCCCCATAGGATTTTCGGATTTGGACTACTAATTTGGACAATGAACAATTATTTTTCGTGTCAATTTTTTCAGATATGAATTTTTCTTTCTATTTCAATCAGCCCCCCCCCTCCCCCGCGCAATTTCTATTCAACACCAATGTAATCAATGCACACTTAATTCAGCTAATATATTCTTAAAAAAAAATATTTTATAAAATATCTTAGATTTCAAAGTTACATGTAGCTTAAAATCGCAATATTTCGTGTAATATTTTTTTAAAAAAGAAGTACATTTGTGTATGTAAATCCTAAATATTAATAAACATAGTTACACAATATACAATTTAGTCCATAAATTTGTTTATTTATATTTTTTGGGGGCGAACAACACTTCATTTATTTCAATTTTAAAATTCCTTATCTCAATAGTTGGTAAATGATGTGAGTTTAACGCATGATGCACGATACGTTTTAATGCTTATATTTAGTTATGCACAACATTAATAACTTATAATGTCTAACTTGTAAACGGATTTTTTTTTCAAAATAAAAAGGTTTAGTGATCTTTTTCGCATAGTTAATAAAAGAGTTCAAGAACGAACCTCACAATTAATACATATTTATTTTGTTAAGTAGAGGATGTAAAAGGGGGGTGATCTCCCCTTTTTGGGATTAATACCATAATATTATATATTTGAAGAATGTTTTTTTTGTATTTAA